GATTACTTGTCTTGTATTAGAACGGAAATAGATGCATTACAAAACCTGTCAGAATTGGGATCACCTCATATTCCAAAAATTCTTCTTCAAAATGACAACACACTTGTAATGACTCCAGTTGGCGAGAGAATTATTAATTTGCGAAAAAAAGACATCAGTGATATCATAACCACCTTCCAAAAAGTTCACTCACGTGGGATTATACATAGAGATCTCAAAAAATTTAACTTCCTTCGTAATTTGGATGATTCAAGTGAAAATATTCTTATTATCGATTGGGGTTACAGCACAAACAACTCTGAAAGCACCACATTTTCAGGGGCATTGGGATGTATGCCAGATTATGTCCTGCAATCATTAATCAATGGAGAAGAGATTGTTTATGGACCACAAGTTGATTTGATCTGCTTTGTTCGTTTATTCTATCTAATGCTCCATAGACCGAGAGTTCCCATTGACAAGAATGATAATATTGAAGAAAAAGCACGTAAGTTATTAAATTTCTGGAAAGATTGTAGACGATCAGATGTATGGAATAATATCTACGAGGCGATAGATAACTTAAGCTATAATCAGTTAATTCAAGAGCTTGAAAGGTTATTTTAGATAGCTAGTTTTAGGTGTATTGATTGCTATGTCTCTTCTAATGGCTTGATATAAACAAATATATTGCTCATTGTTTTCCATCACGTATTAAAAATTAATAAATCATTGCTCACCCCAAAATATTTTGCTTTGTTGTTGAGAAACTAAAGTATGATTTGATTTATTTATTTGCACCTTGAATGATTTCGGACCGTTGTTGACAATGCTCCGAAATCACAATTACATGCATTGAAGTATGTATTGTACTCAATGAATTTAATTAATGAAAAGGCCACGTGAGTGTGACACAAATATCCTGTGTAAACAGTTCTTTTTTTACAATCAGAATTCATTAAACCCCCTCACAAAAATGAACCGGCAAAATTGCATTTATTTTTCTTCTGATTGGTAAACAAAGCCATATAGAAAGAGTTAACGAAGTAGTTTCAAACAATAATCCAATCGGCTGTTCTTGATACATGTGGATAATTTGGGAGGCATTTATTTCATCGACAATCATTTCATCGACAGTACACTTCACCGACAGTCATTTCACGTGACACATTGTTTATCGCACTTATCATTGGTTTTCGATGAAATTTACGTCGGTGAAACGTACTGTCGGCGAAATGATTGTCGATGAAATGAACCGGACCCGATAATTTAATGAACTTTGTTACAATACAAAAGTGCAAAGTCGCTCTCTATTTAAATATGATGCAGATCAGGCAACACAAATGCTCGATGCAAAAATTAATTGCATCCTTCATCCCAATTCATCATAAATGACATTTGGACTGGAATTTAATACTGACATGATAATATGGGAAAACAAGCATATAAATCAAATTTCTATAGAAAGATCTGTTTAATGTATAATAATAATATCTGCCAATGAAATGTTCTTTAACATGCATCCTTGAAAAAATTTGTGCGCCATGATGATATCATGCTTAATACTAAATTAACAATTGTTGCTTAGATTATGATTCGAATCAAAATTATTGGGAAAAATTGGTGTCACTTTTTCCGAGTTAAAAGAGCTTTTTCTGCACTTCAGAACGTCGGTAAACCTTGATCTTCGCAATCATTGTCGTGCCATTAATTGCCAATTGCTCGCACTAGTGTTATTACAATCAGTTTACA